TAAATTTGATTTCAACCCAAATGGTTCTTGTACTTAATTCAACAGTTAAGCATCATAAAGGTATTCCTGAGTTGTAAGCGATCATTAGTAAGTCCTGTATTTTAATTCCATGTCAATTGAAACTTGTCAAGAAGATGCATCTACAAACTTGAGGAAACTAACTAACCCTTAGTGAAGTTCAAACTTGAATAATTAAGTATCACAGTTGTGGACGTTAACACATCATTTAAAGAGAACAGTGTATATTGTTCAAGACTAAGCTAGGTAGTTCCGTAATTAACCAATTATTTAATTCATCACTCTGTTTCTTATCTATTTGTAAGAGTTGAGATGTTTTAAAAAAAGTTTCAGTGATGTAATATATTATGATAACATGCAACCAATTCTTCGCCATACACAAACGGCATATGCCCAAGGGGAATGAAGAAAAAGTGAATTTGACGGTATAGCTACTGTGCCACATAGATAGTTCAAACCACTGATCAATAAACTTTAAGCAGGACACAGGTTCATTGTTACTACAAAATTCCCTAATAAAATGATCTTTCTTTAGTGGGCACATGATTATCAATTTTTTCGAAAGTCTTTCCAAATATTCCGCTTCTCAATTAAATCTGACATACTTTTCATTTTTTAAAATGATATATTTGTAATTCAGTTGGTAATACTATTGTTTGATTAAAAGAAGTTAGTTGAGTAGGTAGGTGGTTTGTAAAAAAAATACTTGAAATCAATTGATAAATTATAAGTCGATTGCATGTGATACTTATTCAAGTAATTTATTCTGTTATCACTTAGAAACTATTTTGAATTCACCTTCTAGATACTGATCATAGTGTATGTAAATTACATATCATCAAACATTCTTCGATATTATTTGGCAAATTGATTGAAATTGAACAAATGATTTTTTTATATTTTGAAATCATCTTCTCATTCTCACCTTGTTTGTTGGCATTTCAATTGATTTGTTATTGAAGTGAACATAACAGTGAAATAGTAATTGATTTGAATAATTTATCAAATTCCATCTTTTTTTTCATTGAATGTATGTTGAACTTGCATAAATTTGATACGAGAATCACATTAATTTTGTGTAAATTAATTTTTAGGATTTTATGTAACTGTGATTTCCATTGAGTGTATGAATATAGTGTAACTTTGAAAGTCAACCAATCAAACAGACAGCCAAAAGGACTGAAGGTTCTGAATCTCATCCTTCATGAGCTCGTGATTTCTCACTACCTGGGAATTTTATGCTAAAATAAGACAAATGTCTATTACTCCGTAGCTTTCGATGATTGTCTAACCAATTTCGGTTCCAAACGTAATATTTCAATCCCTGTAATATCCTGTAATAATAAACATATTATCTAGAGAACTAGTAAAAACTGGGTAACATTATTTGATGATTCGGTTTTAGTTAATCACTCTCTAAAATTACATAGTCATACCTAAACAAAAAATCAAACTCAGTACCCTTAGAATTTGTGATGAACACGATACTTTTAGACTTTCACGTTAAAAGTCAGTAGTTCTTAAAAAAAATTTAATCTGTTCTTTGAGTAGTACGATTCCCTTTCATTGTTATCCATAATATCTGTTTCACAATTGATATGATTAAATCCATAGGTTTTCATAGGCCTCTTGTCAGAATCACTGGTAAATCTATCTAGTGAGCACGTAATTATTGATCGATAATTAAAATATCAATGTGAACATATATGGACATCAATAGTATCTACCTACTGTGTTAAGATTTTATCCTGTCAATTAATTCTTGGATTTTACCATTCAAAATGTGATCTGTTGACTATTTTTAACTAAAGTCTAAGTAGATAAACTTGCTTACATTTTTGTTTTCAATGAATTGAGTAATTTAATCGTAAATTTATCGTTGTCTACACAAACTTCATGATTAAACCACTCAATTTATGAGAACATGTTGAGAAAGTTTCTTCACTATGTTATTATTATTATTACTAAGGTTTGTTTAAACATATTTATTAAGGAATGCTTTTACATTTCGGTGGGTGATATTTAATTTTTATGGTGTTATAACACATTCCCATTCTCATTTACATTGATATTGACAATGTTAATTATTAAATAAGGGGTAGAACATATACTCGGGTCTTATTGTGCAATTATTCAAAATACATATTACAAACTAATATGTTAATTGTATTCCAGTTATTTAATATGGATAAATACGTGGGTTTGTTTAAAAAGAATGACCTTCAAAATCAGTTCACTCGAACACAATATACACTAGATAATCGTCATGACTGAACAATGAAATCTAATTAGCATATATATTGTTTATAGTTTTAATGATAGGTATTCTGTCATGTATAATAGATTTGTACATACAAGTTTGGTCGTCACCACGGGGAGAAAACATGATTAAATTAAAAGTACTCATTAAGGAATGAAATGTCCATTTGACTTTTCTAAATACTAACATTTATTTTTCGTAAATCTTGTTGAAAGTTTTGATCACTTGGAGTAAATAAAATCTAGTTATGAGTTTGAAAAGTAAACTTTGACTATAGTTCAGCACACTTGGAATATCGTGTACTCAGTGAATTTGAAGGATTCTGACTAACATACATTGTATATTGGCCCAGCAGTTTTCTTATAATGTTAAAAGATTATAGCTTCAAATAATAATGATATTATTACACTTTCACATTAAGTATATTTCTTTTAAATAAATGAACTACAAATCAGTCCCAGTTATGTTCAGTTCACAATATATGTCCTTACTAAAGAACATATATGCATAAGGTGAAATGAGAATGCGTGTTTTGGTGAATAGTGTTATACTGTAGTAATTATTAGTTATCGGCCAACTGCTAATGTTCCATAGAACTTTCAGTTATTTTCTTTAAGTTAATCTGGTGTCCTAAATCGCCAAAGTAAATTTGCGAGGCTATTTTAAGTGAGTAGGATTATTACGAAATAAAATTGATGTATATGTCTAGATCGTCTATGTGAATAGCTTTCAATGAGTTGAGAGAGATTGTTTTCAATTTATGAGTGTTTTGTATTGTATTATAAGAAGATGGTCTTTAATTTTGATAATGAATATGATTCATTTATTGTTGAATTGATAAACAAAATGATAATTGATAAGTAGTACGCAGTGATGTTATGTGGCTAAATGATAATCCCTCATAAAGACCAAGCTAATTAGTATCGAAATTTAAGACTAGTCAGTAGAATAAGTTTTTTCACAACAAAATTACATATGAAATATAATACGCCGTTAGGCGTTGCAGGTTTCGTAGATTTATAAATGAATCAATGAAATCAATAATCTTAATCACTGGTTTTATTTTTGTTATGGATGCTGAGGAATAATGTGCCAATAATTAGCATGTTAAGTCTAATGATGTCCTTGGACGTTAAATGAACATTCCCTATTGGCTGTTATTTATTTCACTCGCTAAATATTGTACAGATGTTGTTTTCTATTTTTATGGTACGATATGGTCTGTTTGGTTAGTATATAAATAGAGTATGTTTGAAATATAACGATTCATAACTCAGAGGCTGTGACTTGTATTCTAGACTCAACTGGCTGGGCTAGACAGGGAAGCGGGACCAATCGTGACTCTAGGTCGTCCTTACATGTTTTCCCGTGTCACTGTAGTCGATCGATAAATACGCTGCTCCATCTAAACTGCAGTCCACCCGTTACAACAATTTTTACTCCATTTATTCAAAAATAATCTGTATTCTTACTTCTCAGTTAGTTCTTACGTTTCGATAAGATGTTGTAGTTTGGGTCTATTATGAATAGAGAATAACAACATACTGGGTTAAATGAACTTCAGAACTTATATGTTTTGTGGCAAGTATCAACCAATGGATTGGAATTCAATGGTCTTTAGCTACCTTTGTGGGATTTAGCACTATATTTGTTCGATGTCCTTCTGAAAGTTAGTTATCTTTCAATTGCTTAATTAACTTCAGTCTTTATTCCTCCCATTAGATCATAAGCTTTAAAATTATTATCTGGAACTATTTCATCCCATTATTTCATTCTATGTTCTCGAATTATATTCTTTTATTCTTATTCTTTTCTACTACCACTGATACTGTTACTATATAAACTAATCTGGTATTTATTTTGATAATTTTATCTTCCTGTCCTGATTTGGATGGCAACAGATAGGCGTATATGCCAAGTTGATTATAACTGACTGAATAATTCCTTGAGAAATTTTTTTCTAATAACTAGTGATTGGTGAAAACATTGGCTGGATTTTTAAATGAGATCATTTTTTTTTACATATTCTTTATATCATTAAAAATCCTATTCACTAGGTCAAATCGAACATCATGAATTAACATAGAATTATAACGAACAATAAGTTTTTTCAATATTATATCACATGAAACTCATCAAACTTTAATCTGTGAAGTGTCATATAGCAAGACAATCATCAGTTTTGATATGTAATTTTAAATAATAAACTAGCAAAATCAAAGTAATTTACCATAAAAAAATATTTAGTTTTAGACTTTAGCCTCTCAATTCATGTAGATTATAACCAGAGAAAATTGTTAAAACTAGTTTATTGTTAATCAAATAGAATTGTTGTTAAAATCCCATTGATTTATTTGATTAAAACATAAGGTACAAATATATTTTTTGGAACAGATGAGTTGTGATTGTTATAAGAATCCAATGTGCACGTTTCATCCCGTTCTGGACTCGTTGCCAGAGTGTTCTTTCATCCTAACATTGATGTTCACAATAGTATCTAAACACAGTACCTTTCACTTTGAACTTCAGTGAGTTATTTATTCATTAAGCTATTAAGTTCATTTAAATACCGTGAAGTACTGATTTACATTGATACTTTAAAATACTTAATATTTAAATAATATAACTTACATTCATTGAACTCTGACTTTTACTGTATTTTCTACCTATTTCGCAGTATAACCAGTAAGAATTGATAAGCAAATCATTTTACAGTATCCGTCCATTCATAATACTAAAAAAAATCTAAGGTCATGGACAATGAACAAATGAAAAAAAAAGTTATTTAAAGAGTAAAATAAATTTACATTTGAGTACTTATTACTTGTTAGTTTTTTTATTTATTTTGTGCACTTTATAATCATTCAACCATCTCTAAATAAATGAACTGATAAGGATATATATGAATAGATTGATAATTGACACAACTAATTCTCATTTTTCAATGGAAAATTGTATACTATTGTGTAAATTTGTTTAGCCACTACATATATAAACTCAGTGGTTAGCTACTTTGGTTTCCAGCACAATTATTTAGTGTCATTTCATTTATTTACTCAGCTTTGAGCAGTATTTCAGTTGTGTATATTTAAGGGTTAGCGAAACTATTTGGCTTCAAACCTGTGAAATATTTATTAATGACTGAACACAGCTCTGCTATCAAGCATCTATTTAACTTTCATCGAAATGTTTAGGTGAGATATGGGTTATATAGAATAAGTATTCTGATAAAACTAGATACCAACACCTGAATTTCTCTCCAGCTACTTAGGTTTGAGAGAGGGTTGGTAGTAATAACAATTAAAGTATGTTCTACGGAGCTGAGATAATGAACCTGTACTTGGTAAAGAATTGCGTGCACATTTTTAAAGTTTACTTGAGTAATGTTTATTCAACATATTAAGTGACACAGCCTTTAGTTTCGAATCGATATTTTTTATAATCGACGTATGTACAATAATGATGGGAAGTTTTTTATATATTCGATTCATATGATTTCTCTATATTTTCGTTTATAATTCATCCATTAAATCATCATTAAAATCCCATTAGCAACTGGTAAATCAGTGATTAGCATTAAAATGAGTTTCATTGGATACTTCAAAGATACCACTGAGATCTTCATTTATGCTGAAAACAATATATTACTTTCTATGACTTCACGATTAGTTACACGGATGAATCATAAGAGTAATAAAAAGTTGATTGAAGAAATCCTTCTTCAACTTCTCAACTTGGAATTGTTTCACGTCCGATCTCCATTGAACTCTAATCATTGTTAGTGTAATGAATTAGTGTGAAATACCATTCCATGGTTCGTATGACAGATTTTTCGGTATCCTTATATACATATCTGACAAAAAACAATCCATTAAAAGTCCAAGATGTAATCCGGGATCTTAATGTCTATTTTAAGCTAATTTTGTAAAGTATCTTAAGTAATAACTTTATTTTGTAAGTGATATTTACTACGTTTTAATCTTATTTGGGGGTATCACAGAAAACCAGAGAGAACTGGAGACGTTTCATCTTAGTATATGATTCAGCAGTGAGCATCGACGATCACGCCAGGACCTTCAGATCCGAGGAACGAAAATTTTTAGTTTCCGCCAATTTACTTAATTCACTTTGAAGACCAACTTGGAATGATAAATGAGTTGATTGAATACAGAAAGCAATAGTCATCAAGTTTCATACTCCGTAACTCGTGACACATTTATTCACAACTGTCTTGAGGTAGATATTTTGTTGTCAAGAGATCGAGTATTGAATTGTCCCAATTTTTTAAAATTCATTCAATCAGTAAGATATTTTTGTGTCATACAATGAAATGACAATAGTTTGTCGGTCGAAAGCTTAGGTTCAATAATTATCGGGAATACACATTTCGGTAGTGATCATGCCAACTTACAAGTGACTTTTAGTATTCAGGGTGCTTTTAAATCGATATTGATTGAAATAATTGAAATCATTTTGATTATTATGACATACTAAAGCGTTAATTTGACCATTAAGCTACTCGGTATTCAACCAGTAGGTTACAGGTTCCAATCCTCTTTTGATATAATTCGATATTCACAGCATAGTGGTGTTCTTAGTCCTCAAAAACAGATAAATAGTATTGTGGCTTAAAGTTGAGTATTTCGTAAATGAGTTACATTACATTATAACACTGTTAGTAGGATATGTACTATACCATTCTTTATGAATAGTTACCTTTAGTTGCTTGAATTAAGGAATATAATTTAGAGGGGAACCTTTAATCCTCTCTCCTACGATCAGTAACAGTTTATTGTACCCATGTCCTCTATGCATTAAGTATCGTTTTCATAATATTGTCCGTAATGTATTCTGTTGATCTATTTCAATTTTCTTGGTGTTTGATAGAATTGTTAATTATTGCTATTGTTGACGTCACAATTAAACAGAATACACCCACTGAGAAATAAATGTGGAAAGAATGGTTCAATAAAGTATTGTTTTTTTGTCCAATTCATTTTCAAAGCTGTACAATCGCAAAGATAATCGGTAATATGTATGATAAAACTCAAAATATGGTTATGAAAAGCTTGAATATTCCTCGAGACCAGCAAACATATTGGATAAAGAATAGGGACTGTAGAAAATGGGATGGAAAACATGATATGATTAAATAAAATGCAGTCGAAGAGAGAGAGACAGAATAACTCAGTCATATGTAGAAAGTGAACAGAGAGATAGAAAGATGGGAAAGATTATGATTTTATAAAACCAGGAGTTAATTAAGACTATGATAGAAGACAAGTTCGAGAAGAATCCTTTAGTATAAATAGCTCACGTTTTTCTAAATGTTAATATAGTAAAGGCTTCAGCAATGGTAGGAAAAAGGAAGCTCACTGTTTTTGGCGAATTTCTATCATTCAACTTTTAGATAACTTTTTATTCTGAGTTTGTTTTGATCGATTGATTTGTTTAATAACGGTTCGCGTCATATCGCCTTCACAAATGTTTTTGAAACCACTTGTAAAGAATTTACTAGTCCATACTTCTACTACTTAGTATTCTCAAATTATTGACTATTTGAACTTTTTGAGTGATTGAGTGCTCAGATGGGGAGCAATCAAAATGGATATAAACTTGAATGTGACAGGAACATCAAAATTCACTATGACATACATAATTCATGTTCAGTGAGTGATCATTTGTATATGTAAACCTTAATATCCGTATTAATGTGAATAGTACTAGTTTCGAACTTATAATCTGTTTACATGAATGATGTTTTATATGAACAATGGCATTCAGTTAATATAAGCTATGAATAAATTTGCATAGATATAAATCAATGGTTAGAAATATTCATGAATTAAAATGGTGTAAATATGATGTACATAAAATATTCAGCCTAGCATAACACCAATGTACTCATTCTCGGAATTTTGGAGCACAGTACATTACAATACTATACCTATTTGATTTTTAATACAGCACTAAAAACTATTGGAATGGGGTGCAAAAAATGTTGTTTGGTGGCATTTTAACTACAAATAGACTGGTTAATCAAGGACATATACTTGAATAAATTGAGTGAGGTAAATATACATACCTCTAAAAGAAACGTTTGTTTAAAGTCACAACATTCACCTATTAGATGAATGGAAAAATAGTTCAAAGTACTGGATATGCATGACATGGATTAAAAACTTCAGAAATTACCTGAATCTCTGTCTCCGCTCATAAATTAGAAAACAAAAATTGTGTCACTCGGTTTCATACCCCGAATTTCATAATTATGTATTTTATGTTTGAATGCAGAAAGTTACTTGACTAGTTTTTTCAATGATGTGATTGATAGATTAGTATTTTTGCGAAGACTAATGATCGTTAATGTATACAGTAATTGTGTTTATGGGGATAAATAGTTTTAATATAATTAGGTCTCTAACATCATTGTTTGTTAGTTTGCACGTAACCATCAGATTAGAACTATGTAAATAAAATAATTGAAGGGAATTTTTCACTACAAATTAATTCGAATTAAATAAAGATTGAAAAACTAACCGGTTCTGTACTCATTTTCTGAAACATTAAAAACACATTCATAGCTCATAGTCTGGAAGTTTTACCATAATGAATTTCTATGTGTTTTTCATTCACTAATGAGTATACAATTTTTTGTAATGATGATCAATCCAACCTACTTTCACTGTGTTATGTTCCATAATCATGTAAAATAGAATCAGTCTGAACTAAAGTGTATTGATATCAATCTAGTTTACGTAAACATAATACATCTCGTTTTCATTCTGGACACCGTGTCCGGTGATCAATATTTATCATGAAACATTCATTATATATATATATATATATATATATATATATATATATATATATATATATATATATATATATATATATATAATGTGAAAATATATGAAATCACTTTACTAGTAAATGTTCATAATGTAACTAAACAGATTACAAATGTGTTAAGTATGTAATACTACTGTGTAGTACTAACTAACTTGGGATTAACTGAGAATTATTAATTTGTGATGTAATCAAAATTACTTAGATGATTTCTTCACGGAGTAACCTAAGGTGGAGATTCATTGTAAAATAGATAAAACTGTTTCGTTCTAGTTTAAAGCTTCTTAACAGTCCTTCTCTTCGACCACACCAAAGATCGTGCCTAGAACTCTCAAGTCTCGCGGTGAGCATCTTACCTTTTTACCACTGCGTCTAAATCTAATAGTCTGCAAGTTCAACTTCAGCCAACCAATAGCGCGATGATTATAAGATGTCATCAACGACATCTTCATAACTAATGAAATGATCAAATTCTACCTAACATAGCCTCTTATAAGAACTTCTGGAACCCAGCCAGAAACAAGTCACTGGTCAATACACAATAATTCTTCAGTTGATTCATCCTTTACGATATATTGATCAAATAATACCTTATATTATTCATTGTCCAATTTTTCTCACTTTATTTTGCATTGTTAGCTTATTATCAGTGGGTACCGTTTGTACTTGGCCTACAGTGCATATTATTTTATATTCCACATATTGCTTGGCAAGCTGCTTGCGCTTGTCGTTCTGGCGGTGATATGTTTTCGTTAGTAAAATCAGCGGCAGATGCTGCCATACTATCTCGAGATGATCGTCAGAAAGCAGTAGCTCGTGTAGCGGAATTCATCGAGGACATGATTGGAATGCACAAAGAATGTCGGAAAGTAAGTTAATTTAGACATGTCTTACTGAGTTTCAGATTTCCTATAGTAAAAGTTTCTAAATCTATTTAAGACATCTTTACATTTTTCATCGAACAAATAAAATGTTATGCTTATTTACGTAAAATAGATTGAATGTGACTAGCAGTGGAATCCAGGAAGTGCGTTCCATTCAATCTGAGACTCATTCTGGATTTCACTGTTAGCCACATTCCATTTACTCTATATAAACTTATGTCATAAAAGTTTTATCAAGGGAATCCGCATAGGATGCCCATGTGTCAACTAAGATTGACCAAATTTCGACTGAAATAACAACAACAGGATAATCGAAATCATTACAAAATGTATTGTGCTTATTGTTTGACTGTTTGTTGATAAAATTAGTTTACCATTGGAAATTGATTGTTTGAACTGAACTGTTAAATATATCCCCAAGTATGGGACTATTTAGTAGGGCTCCACTGATAGAACCCGAGACCTTCAAATCTCATAACAAAGTCTTAAAGTTCAAATCACTGAGTCAAAGTCCAATGGTTGACATTTCTAAATTCAACTAATTGTCAATATTGCTCAATCATCTACGAACCTCATTAGTGGGTGGTTGTCTCACATCCAATAGGTTTGAGCTCCACTGGCCACAATTTCTTACAAGAGCCTCATGATTTACCTATCGAAATTGGCCACTGAGTGATCGCATCTGATGAACCTCATACTAGGTTGAGACAATTATTCAGTTTTGTTTAACTGAGGTTAGTTTATGATATAAACAATAAAATTTAACTCTGCAAACCAGCTATAATAATAAAAAAGTTAAGATTTTCGACCATGATAAGGTCATTACAATAAGATTGTCTTGCTTTATGCAAGAGTTAATATATTCATATGTCTAAAGTTAAAATGCTTATAATTTATCGGACATTTCGCCGAACCTTCACTTTCAAGAATAATGAATTTGCGAGCACAGGAAGTATTAGTGACTCATTGACTACGAACCGTCACATTCAGTCGCCAACGAGTAGATCACTATTCCTCAACACATGATGATAGCTCCTTCTTTGAGACTAGTACGGGTCTTACAACCATATGCTATTACCCTATCAAACTCGAGTCTAAATAATGGTACAGACTATACAAATTCCAAAAACAATCATTCCTGACTTATCCTAAAAAATGATGAATCAAATATAGTCCGTAATAATAAAAACAAAAAAAATACAGACCCGTACAAATATATTCATACCAATTGAACAAGCTGATGGCTATGTTGACTCAGTTACTCAGTGAATAACTTGGGGGAGTTTAAAGTAAAATAGTATATGGTTTGTGTCTCAATGTGAACGACAATACAATGATGCATCCATTTTCAGCCGAAAAATGCCAAATAGAACTTGAATTTCGCTGTTAACCCAAAATTCAACTCTACTATAACTTGCAACTAGTTACTATTATTACTATAACACAGCCGTAAACTGCATTTTCCAGTTTTACTGTATTCTAACTCTGTCTCTCTTTTTTTTCTAAGGGTAAACGTGCTAAACTGACTAAAACAGCTGCTCAATTTGGTGGGATATTTGTAGCTAGTAAAAGACTCGGTACACACTTGATATTTTCTTATTTATGCGTAAAAATTGTTACAATTATTAATGCTGCATTACAACTATTTTTAATTCAACGATTTTTGGGCTTTTATTCAAATGGCAGTGCAAGTCGACGTAGCTTACAATTAGGCAAAGTGACTGATTTTAAAGCATGTAAGTTTGATAATGATTATACTATTAATTAATAATAGTCGTTGTTTTAACTATTTACCATTAGATTTCATTGTGTAGGTCATTTACGTTCTTTATAATGGAGAATAATTGATTTATTCAACACAACATTGGACTTGGGTCTCTAAATCAATAGAATATGATACTTGAGCACATGATACCCTCGATTGAATTATTCGACAGTTGGACAAGAACAAGAGGATGTAGACCAGTGTTGTACCAACACAGTAAAAAGCAATTTTGGGACGGTATCTCATATTTAATGTAGTTGAATTTATCTATCTCCGCTCATTAGCCGATCACTGATTGCCTTGACTGACAAATTGTTCTGATTTTTCTTTAAAATACGTATTCATATGTTATATGGTCATTATCATATAGACAAACGATTACCGAATACTTGTATCAAAGTTTGATCAAATATTCAGGTAAAAGGCATCATATTTAAGTTGTAAGAAAAGAACAAATGTTTTACTATTGAACATCATAAAATCACTGTTTGTGTACATGCTTTCTACAACGAATTACTACTGATTGAATTGATGATTAATTAGCTATGCTATATCATTTGTATGTAGTTTGATAGCGAAATCACTATGAACCTTCCACTAACATAACTCAAGTATTTTATTTTGGGTATGACGCTAAAAGGAAGTCAAAGAAAGTTTTACGAGTAGTGGCTTTAATCTTGTTACTGTACATCAGTCAGGTATTTCCATAACGTTGTGATTAGTAAAGGTGCACTTAATTTGTGTTATATGTTACTTACAAACACATCATAATCACTGACATCAGATACGTCCAGTTGTAACGTAGATAATTATGAAGTAAAGATATGTAATATGTATACATTAGGGTTTGTAAAAAATGTTTAGGAGTCCTGTACATAATAATTATTTTGTAACTTCAAATTTTGTGCAACTATTCAATTTGTTCGGCTTTCGGATTTATGGCACTGGCGAAATTTGACACATCATTTTGCAAATTTGTTCAAAAATGTTTGAATAAACACCTTTGTGGTAGTGACTATACAGTTACATTATTAGTTTGTTTGTAAAACAACTGGTTAGTGAATTGGAATTGAATTCGTTTTGTGCAGAGTAGTAGTAACTTACTCAACTCTTTTAAAGTCAGTCAATATAATCAAATATTGGCTAATAATTTTAGTTCATCTTTGTAAAACAACTAACCATTAAAAGTCAACATATATTTTGTTCTAGTATGGAACTTCTCAGAAATGTTCATCCACATGCTCTATTCTTCAAAGATTGAACCTATGAACACGTTACATTTAGATTACTAAGTCGGAACTCAAGGATTCTCATTTCTAAATTCAATATTTAATGAAATGAATATAATAATGTATATTTTTCATGACTTTTCTTTTATAAACTTCAGTAAATGATTTATCCTATTCAGAAAATGAAAATGTTGAAGGTTATGGATTTGGTTTAACTGTTGTTAATCATATACGTTCTGGACGTGATTGGCCTGAAACTATGCTATTTCCACGTGTAGCATATTGTCGTGTACCGGGTATAAGATTAGTTGGTGTAAAAAATTCATATACTGCACAATGTGCATTACCTATAAATATGTTAAATGAAAAAATTTATATATTTTTTTGGTTTTGGATTGTTTTCTTACTGATCATATGTATTCTTAGTTTGTTATTATGGCTAACACGTATGATTTTAGCATCAAAACGTAAAAATTTCATTAAACGTTATCTTAGATTAAAAGGTATTCATTCATTAAAAGGTGATGAATTGAAACAAAGTGATTTAGATGAATTTATTGATAAATATTTACGTGCTGATGGTGTATTTATCATTCGTATGTTAACTATTAATTCAGGTGATATTATTACAGGAGAAATTGTCACTGAATTATATAATAACTTTATGAATCATTATCATAATATACATCCAATTGATAAAGAACAAGATTTAATGAAACCGGAAAAAATTGGTTTTACTAATCTTGTTTAATGATGCTTGTTAAATTTTTCTTTTAATCTATGTGAATACGATATATCATGTTAGTTTACTGGAAGAAAAAATAAAGAATATGTCAAATAAACGACAACAACCACAACAACAACAACAACAATAATGTTCATTTAAAACAACATTGAACTAAAAGAGATTCGAATTATTTGTGATTTACATTGACAACAACAATAAGAACATTCATATTTTGATTAACCTTTTCACTTGTTTCTTTTTTTTTTCTTTCTTCTTACTGAGGACAAAATATAAATTATTTTCTGAAAAATAAAAAAAAAATCAAGTTTGTTTAACGTTAGCAATAGACGTTTTTATTAAAATCTTAGGTATTATTGTCATTACTATTACTATTAACATGAATACGACTATTATTATTATTATTATTATTATTATTATTATTATTATTATTATTATTACTATTATTAGAAACTCTTTGAAATTGTCTGCTAATTAGCTGTGAAAACTTTATTAGTAATTATTCTGATATTTTCTTTTATATTTTTCTATACAACGGATTACTAGAATTGGCACCTTAAATATTTGTGTGCGTATATGTTTTTTTTTTTAAAAAAAAGATAAATCTTTTAATATAATACATCAGACTAGTACAATCAAATCTTGTATGCATATTCATTTCGGTAAATGCTAGGTTTGAAGCTATCACGAGTTCACTTAATCTGCGAATGAGAAACAAGACTCAGTGACCAAAGACCAGTAAGCTAGCTATTGATGCGTCTCAGCCTCGCTAACTAGAAGGAGAAGTCCAAGTTTAGAATGGGGAAGTATATTCTACAAACAGCCAGAAACGAGCGATAACAACAAACACAATTCAAAACGTATATATACAGTACAAAACCGTCCTTGGGGAAAGTTAACAAATAGCATACTGAAAGATGCAAAGGACCAATAGCATTTAAGATATTTCCCAGTGGGGAATATGACATGAAAGTGACAAGAGCGCCTTTGGCGCGAAAATAAATTCAAATTTTCTAAATAAAATTACAAAATTAGGTCCTTTCTCAAGTGAGTTCTGGGGATCTAACGTAGCCAACAGTAAATAATGTTAAAGTAATCAATATTCCGTAGTATAGATCATGAACTCATATGAGTTAGATGAAAACCAGAGGCCCGGGTGCATTGAACGTTTACCTCGCCCTAGAATAGGGTTCATCAGCAGTATTCATTCACTATCCCAAAGGCGATCGGATCCAGAAACCATTGTCTGGCAAAGCGATTTTATTTAATCATATATTTTAACCATGTAGTCTAAAAGGATTAAATCGTAGGGGAGCGCCGGCTGGTGTAGTGAAAGAATAAGAGACCTGTTGTTCTAAAGCTGTCTGTGTTGTGTAGCAATTTATGTTGGGAACTAGATCCAGCATAAACTGTCAGCAGTTAATCTCTCGATGGTTAGGCTTTATGTAGGTGAAAGGTAGTATAAATTTCTTTAGCATGTCAGACACTTTTTAAACCCACTGACAACGACTATGGGGATCAGGACACAAGTACAAATCTGGCAGTTGATTGTTTTAGAAATTCGAATAGATCAGAGAAAACAGATCTGAATAATTCTTCAAGATGCTCACAACATCTGTCTATTCAAGCTGGAATACTAAAGTTAAACACTGTTTTATGCATTTTAAGTCAGTGAAAAAGTGCAAGTCAGCACCATGCTTCATTTATGACGGTAATTTTACAATTAATCGTCTTTTTTATGAGATTTTTCACTCTCACCTCTTCTGGATGTAGCGGTGAGCCGGTGAATAAATCCAATAAAAATATTTCAATTACATCAGTAGCGGAAACCCGAAATATGAAGACGAAATATCCATTATCTTAGTGTAGCTTTCAACTTCAGAAAACAATAACAATGGCTCACTGCATTCTTAGTTAATCGTTTGTTATAATCACTAGCCACAAAATCCATTTTAAATCTCTTCATGAAGATTCAAAATTTGATAGGCATTCCGTCAAATTCGGCCAATTCGATCATTGGCAATGCAACAACGAAAATGGGATTACAACTTAAACTAAAATCGTAAGCGGTGTCTAAATGTCTACTGGTATATTGATTAGGTAATCAAGGCAGGCTCAACTCCACTTTAGGTTTAAGGTCCAACCAGAATCAACATAAATAATTTATTTATGAAACGATAATATTATTGATGATAAAGCAAGCAATGTATTTCGAAAACATCAATTCATAGGATGTCTAAGGCATTTACACGTGGCTAAAGGAAAATCGTAGTTATATAAGAACTATTTACAAAAATATACGATAAATTAAGCAATAAGCAATAGCTGTATTAATTCAAGAGTAAGAGCCAACAAATCAAATTGGGCACTACACACAAAATATGGGGATCATTACAAAAAAACAAGTGTTCAATGAGCAGATGTACAATGGAGGTAACCCGTTAAGAATGTTTAGGAAAAACAGTAATAATAAATGGATTAAATGTAAAAGATTCTTGTAGATAGTTAGAAGCATAGCTCAAAATGATGAAAATAAAGCTGTGGATGTACAAATTATTGACAATGACATAAGTTACTGAATATTAGTAAGTAGTATGATAATATACAAAAAGAAACTGAATAAGCCTGAAATAAAGGTCAAACAGAATAAACAGTGAATATAAATTACATTGCATAATCAAATAGATTCTTTACGATATTGTGATGACATCAGTGTTGATTGTCAAAAATACCTCTTGCTTTTTCTTAGTATCAATCAGAATGTTTTTTTTATCCAGAGTTACTTTGTTATGATTAATATAAAGAAATTTGCAAGCATAACAATTCATATAGGTCATTTCACAACAAAAGTAAGCATATAGAATAGTCAAAGCCGTGATATATTTTACTACTCATCTGTTTTGATGCTCACTTTAAAGTATTCCAGAGGTCATTTCATTCAAGATGTTGCATTCCACATTTCTTTTTTACCATTTCAAACAATCGAGATAATTCCATCGGAATCTTTATATCATTTTATTCATTAAAAATCAAATCTCATAAGAGGTATCATTCTCATTGAGGCAAACTTCCACAAAACATGAATATATTTAGCTGATACTTAATTACTAGGCTATGTTCAATACAAACGAGTAAATAGCATGGCATTCATTACTGATCAGTGATCAGTTAGTCTACAACTGATACTTACTAACTTACTCCTGTTACCCCTCGAAGAAAAGCATAGGTCGCCCACCAGGACAGCTGATACTAGTAACATTAAAATATCACTGATGAAAAGAACACAAATGTCAAAAAATGATCCCCATTTCAGTCTATTCAGTTAATAACCGCTGATTTAAGTTTTCAACAAAATTCCGTACTTCAATAACATCAAGCCAGGGCATAATATTATTTCAAAACTATACACTGTTTTCCCTTTCAGTATAAATACTCAATTTCAATTTGCACTATTCGCAAAATATGCCGTTCGAATTTAGTTAGACCATTTTCATTGCATTTTATGTCTAAAAAAGGTGTATTCTAATTAATTAATTTACTCAGCTTGACATACCATATTTCTAAGTGTCATTAGCATTAAAGCAAATGAAAATAATTGGACGCTGATTGTTTTTTTTTCTCTACTTTGAAAATCATAGTAAACATCGTCAAGCGACTTACAAGTTTCAGAAGTCAATCCATAAACTTTGTGATCATATCGTTCATTAGTCTTCTGATGATTGTTTTGATGAATCAAAGTTGTTTTGGTATTATGGATGAAGTAATTTACTAACAATTATAATTTCATAGTTATGCTAATTTATAAGCGAAACCAAAAAGAAGATAGAATGAGATCACATGAATGTTGGGTATGAAAAGTATATTATTTTGAGGATCAACTTTTCTGGTTAAATTGCATGTTGTTGTTCTGGAGCAATTCCAAAGCATAACATTCATGCATTGACCAAGTAAATCACAAGCTACTATGTTTATCATGATTCAATGGCTGCTTAACGGATAAAGCGCTTGGCATCCAAATTCTAGGTCTGAGATTTAAGTTTCATTTACATCGAATTTCGTAGCGGGTGGCATAAACAAAGTGTGACGTAAAACCGAATACAAAAAGGAATACTTGGTCAGCTGAGTTAATTAGTTCTTAGTGAAATGAATATTTATGTGAAGATCATGAGCTGCGTAATCACTTTTCTCCAGGTTACTAGCTCTCTACATCTAGTTTTTGGATTTACATTGTATCATTTCCGAAAGGTACATATAATGTTCATTATAGCATTACTCATGTTCAACCATTACTTCTTGAAGTTAAGAAAGAAATTTGATAAACGACAATTTATCACATAATTTCTCTTATTTAGAGCAATGTTAGGTATTAAAATTTATGGCGCTTTACATATGAATAAAAATGTTTCAATTATTTATAGACATATGCAAGGAATTTTGATCCAAAGAATGAATAACTCTTAGAAATTTAATAATCAAAGTAAGAAGATTTGTTTAGAGGCTCACTGACCTTAAATCCTCATACTTGTATATGTGTTAGACACAGCATTGTAACATCAATAATGTAAAATTTACATCTTTCGAATGAAGTTTATAAATTATCTAAGATAAAGAAAACAGCTCTAATGAAACCCAACCTAACAAAATGATTTCAAGGATGTATAAATTCGTTGTCATACAAATACGTCTGAAAACACTTTCATAGAAATATGGCAGTTTAAAGGCAGGATGAAAGAGATTGATGGACAGAAGATAGTAAACCAAGCAATCTAAGTGGAAGACACTATAAGAAGGCTGTAATAACGTTCAGATCATAGTCACTACAAACAAACAAGTCGTAAGAATAAAATTTACTTTAAATATTTCCTTCTAACGAACATCATCTGTAGGTAAGTATGTTATTCTTGCTTACTTACACTTGTAACCTCTCATAGAGGAGCATAGACCGTAAACCAGCATTTTCCATTCAACACGTCCCAAGCGATATCTTCCAGATGCTGGCCATAATTTTGATGTCTGCTTCAAATTCCCGACTATGTGTGTTCTTCGGCATTCCACCTTCCTGATTACCTTTAGGATTCCAATTTACCGCTTCCTTTCTGATGCATTTTGATGAGAACCATTATGGATGTACCATCCGAATTCAGCGCCGATTCCTGACATCAAATTCAGCTGGAACGTGGTGTGTTCAACAAGATAAGGGAGAGGTGAAATAATCAAATAAAAATTACAATAATAATGGTGATAAAACTCTGTTAAACAAGATAACAGTTAGGTAAAATAAATAAAGTCATGAAAATGTAATTTTTATTAGGTAAACTAACAATAATTTTGGTATCCCTTTGTCTATTCTACTTCACTGTTATCATGTTTAGTAGAATTTTATTATCACTATGATTCCAACTACTATCACTTTGGAAAATAACTGTATACTTCCGATTGTACGGTTTTGACAAGTGAATTCGCCAAAAAGACAATCCTTCATTAAATCAATCGTTCTTATTTGAAGTAAAGTATTTCTTTATGATTTAGGTGTGCCCATCGTCAAGTTTTGTAACTGGTTCCGTTGATGGTCGAAATCCAAACAATCATCCTGTACATCGTTTCATTGCGGATAAACTCAACTTCTCCATTAATACC